AATCTTTAAGCATTTACAGAATTTTTTTAAGAAATTCCGAAAAACATTCATTCAGATATTTTTCTTTACTTTTCACTAACGGCCTTTGGGAACCTAGGTTATTGAAAGCCAAAATATCGGGGCTACCTTATTCTGGCCAAAATACATATGCTCAAATTCTCAAGTGCAATCATGTACTTCTCTAAAAATTTTATCCACTTAATGTCATATATGTCTCTAAATACTGTATCCCTCATAAAAGTGATTTTTAAATCGATATTTCATATTACGTAGTTACTTTAAGCACTGTATTTTATAAACATTAGTCAATTCCGCAACAATTTTTCATATATTTTACCCAAATTACATGGTTTCAACTTCGAACTGGTGAAGTGTCTTTTAAAATTTTGACACTTCAATCTAATTTGAGCACATATTATTTAAACATCTATATATATAAATATATAGACATCAGTTTTTTTTAGAATACATACACATATAACAAACTACATATATATATAATTAATTTTTTTTAAGTATGCCTATATTTATGTCAAGAAAAAATGTACTTATTTCATTTTCTAAAAACATTTATTGTTATATATATCTGAATATTGTTGATCCATTATAAAAGAATATTTTAATTTCATTTTTCATTTTACAAACTTAATTTCAGTACTTTAATTTTTTAACTGAAAATAAACATTCTCTGGTTTATACGAATTGCTTATTGCTTATATTCAATCTTGAAACAATTTATAATAAAAGATTTTGCAAAATACTTGGGTTTTTTGGAGTAAAGTAAAACTCTAAAAGATAAGTTGACATTTAAACTGCTTTTTTAACCTGTTTTGATCAATAATTCAGAAACTTTTTTTTAAATGTGTAAGATAACATCTAAGTCATTAGTTACTTAAAATCTTTGTGATCTTATTCCCTAACTTATGCTGTTTGCAGGTATTGCACAATTCTCTCTCTTGGACTTTGAAGTTGTATGTTGTTGTTGAGCTCAGTAAATGAGTTTCTGAGCAAGGAGTTAATGCAAGTGAAGTGGTATATATGCTTACAGATTGGAATATTGGTTATAGGCCATTGGTAAGTACTTTTGTAATTAATTATGAAGTTCACTTCATGCTGTGTATGCTCATTTAATGAGCAGACCTACATTGTCTATTCTCATTTAATGAGGAGACCTATGCAAAATTCTCCTTTGAGATATTGCTGATATCTCCATTTAATGCTAGCCGACCTACACGCCTACTACTGTGTACTTAAATTTGTGAGTATGCTTTTTCGTATAAAAAACTATTTTACGAAATCTTTAATTTGAGTACTCTTACAATTCATTAATGCCCTTGAGCCACACACTCTAAAACACTGTCAGTTGATAGCTGCATTAATTGCCATCAGCTCTTCAGTACAGTGGTGCTGGTAAGTTCATTCATGAGTTTCCTATGTACCTACTTTGAAATTTATTATTAATTTAATGTTTATATACACAATTAATTCAGTAACTATAGATATTTTTCGGAACTATACATATTCTTTTTGGGCCTATTACGAAATCTTTAAGCATTTACAGAATTTTTTTAAGAAATTCCGAAAAACATTCATTCAGATATTTTTCTTTACTTTTCACTAACGGCCTTTGGGAACCTAGGTTATTGAAAGCCAAAATACCTGGGCTACCTTATTCTGGCCAAAATACATATGCTCAAATTCTCAAGTGCAACCATGTACTTCTCTAATGTTTTTATCCACTTAATGTCATATATGTCTCTAAATATTGTATCCCTCATAAAAGTGATTTTTAAATCGATATTTCATATTACGTAGTTACTTTAAGCATTGTATTTTATAAACATTAGTCAATTCTGCAACAATTTTTCATATATTTTACCCAAATTACATGGTTTAAACTTCGAACTGGTGAAGTGTCTTTTAAAATTTTGACACTTCAATCTAATTTGAGCAGATATTATTTAAACATCTATATATATAAATATATAGACATCAGTTTGTTTTTAGAATACATACACATATAACAAACTACATATATATAATTAATTTTTTTAAGTATGCCTATATTTATGTCAAGAAAAAATGTACTTATTTCATTTTCTAAAAACATTTATTGTTATATATATCTGAATATTGCTGATCCATTATAAAAGAATATTTTAATTTCATTTTTCGTTATGTTTTACAAACTTAATTTCAGTACTTTAATTTTTTAACTGAAAATAAACATTCCCTGGTTTATACGAATTGCTTATTGCTTATATTCAATCTTGAAACAATTTATAATAAAAGATTTTGCAAAATACTTGGGTTTTTTAGAGTAAAGTTAAACTTTAAAAGATAAGTTGACATTTAAACTGCTTTTTTAACCTGTTTTGATCAATAATTCAGAAACTTTTTTTTAAATGTGTAAGATAACATCTAAGTCATTAGTTACTTAAAATCTTTGTGATCTTATTCCCTAACTTATGTTGTTTGCAGGTATTGCACAATTCTCTCATTCATGTGGATGCTTTGGCTTAGATTTCTGACTTAGAAAAATGTTTAGGGATAGTTCACGGACCTTAGAGGGTTGCCAATAATGTAATATATTTAAGGGGTCTGTAATATTAATTAGTCCAAATAGGAAATGCAGGTGGTGATCTACGGCTGTTTGAGGTATGTACTCCATTCACCAACTCAGTTGCCATTTTATTTCTATTCTTTCTTGAGAGTTGTAACTCATAAATGTGTATTCATATGTAATATTCTAACGCATCAAGTGCAAAACCAATATCACTTTTCCATTAAAACCATTGCTTTACAACATTAATAATATTTACATTTTGGACTTAATATAAACTCATGCTTAGTGCCTCCTAGATCCCATCGGTGGACTTTAGAAGGTCCATTGTTCTTGACCTTAGCCTCATCCTTATGTACTCCCCTGACCTGAATGAAATTCATAGGACCTGGAGACACTCATTTATAAACATTGAAGTATTATTTTTTAAATCTATTCTCACAAACTGTTGAAGTGTTGCCGGTGTCCTGCAAAATACACATATCACATCATCATATCGATAATACAACTTTTCAAAATAGTACTTAGTTCCCATAGGAGAAATATAGTGTCATGCTTAGTTTGTCCACACTGCCGAAAGTAAGACACAATCATGCCCAAGATAGTGTTTTAGGCTACAACCCAACACCACAAAACAAAATATAAGTCCAAGGATGCCTCGGTACAAAATATAAGTCCCGACCAACAGACTGGCCCTTCATAGTGGTTCTTCTTTAATTTTTATCTTCAGCTTCTTCACAGCACCACTTGTAGAGAATTCATCTATCAGATTCCTTTTGAGTTGTCCATCCATTTCCACCTCCACCACCTTCTGCGTACCCAGTGGGGGTGAGTCTGGGAGGTCAATTGCCTCGACAACCTTTTTAAGAAAAAATGTAAGCATATCTCTTTAATATATAACCCTACTTATACAAATATATAAGAGTAATACGGTCGGTATACCTCTTGTTTTTGGACATCTTTCCCTTTTTTCCTTGTTGTAGAACTTTCACCATTGTGGAGACTTGACCCAATCTAAATTTAAGGTATTGGTCATTATTTTCTATGAAGCACCCAAAAGTAAATTTCTATAAACTCCAAAACCATTGAAAATGCCTTCTCAGTTGGAGTGTCATGAACTGATTGTTGTTCCTTATCCGCTTCATACAATGCCAGAACCTTAGGGTCTCTTATCATGGTCACCACAGTAAATGACTTTGTTTTCTTGTAAGTATTCTCCTCACTTTGTGTCTTCAGTTGTATTTTAAACAGGCCCTTTTGGTCAACCAAGCTTTCTATGTCTTCTGGAAATCGAGTTTGGTCTTCAGTCTTCTGTTTTATTCAAACCATTTGCATTAGTCATAAAGTTTTTTTAATTTTGATAATTTCACATATAAATTAAAATCAAGTTTTTGCCTTCTCCATCTCAGCCATTAGAAAAGCAGATGTTTTTTCAAAAACTTCAATACATTCCCTGTCCCACAGAATGAAGGTTGAATGACCAGTCTGGTCCATGATGCAAATGTTGACTTTGTACCTAAAATGAATGCCAAATATTTTTCAGTGGACTCGATTCATACAAATCATAGCTACATACAATAGCAATTCTCTTACCGATACACCCCATCTGCTATTGTGACATGGCAATTGGTACACATGAACCTATCATCCTCTGGTTTTAGTTTTTTGTGGCATGTGGGACAGCCTAGGTAACACCATTCTCTATAGTTTTCAAGAGACACAATGTCTCCGATGATCCAGTAAACCCCATCCTGTTTGTAAACACAATATTTGACATAAGCGTTGAAAATGTCGTCACCTAAAAGAATAGGTCATCTTGTACACACCTCTGTAGCCTTAACCAATTCCTGAATACTCGTTATGACAGCTTGGCCCGCAAGGACATCTTCCCGGCTCCCATCACCATGGGAAGATTGTGAGACGGCTGTGGCTGTGACGCTATCATCACCATCTACAGGAAATCTGTATCATAGTGCAAAGTTCATTATGAGTATAGTTTTTATAAGCCTTCATTACAATGCCTACTTTTAAAAAAAATCTTACTCGCTTTGAAATTCAATAAACTCGCTTGAGTTCCCATTGATTATCAGTTTCGACACATCAAATGAAGATGATACAGATAGGGTGCCTGTCATGAGTAATTAGTTTTTTAGAATAATATTGTTTTGGCCTGATGGCAGGAGTCATAAATATCCCTACAAAAGGGATTACCTTGGTATCTCTTTGGCCTGCATAGCTGAAAAATTACATACACAGGCACACCAACATGCTCGATCACATACTCCATATACTGGTCTATGTACTTGTTCTGCAATACACATCCGAGTCTGTTCCCTCTGCAATTTATAAAAGTTATTTAATAATAAATATTATTCATGCTCCATAACCATTTCTCTCTTAAGTTTAGATTGTATAAAAATGTTTAAACAAAACTCACTCAGGGTCTCCTAATGTCAACTCCATCATCCTTTCAGCCCTTCCACTTATGATATGGTTTTGAACGCCGCTCTTACATATGACTTTGCCTACGACATCTATAACCAAATTCCAGCATAAGATATTTATTTCAGTAAATTAAAACGTAAAAGTTTTCGGTTGTCCTCACCAATCAATTTTTTGTCGTTGACGACGCGTTGAGCATGCAGCATGTCAAATGGCTGAAAGTCGTACACCATCATTGGCAACTCTGTCCTAGTGTCTTCGGTGAACTGAGTTTTGCTGATGAATTGAATCAGATATAGATGGTCACTTGTTTTGACAGTTTGGTAGTTGTCTAGGACCAAAAACGTCCTTAGAGCGTAAATTTTGTTTTCCTTGATCATGGTCTTGTAAACCTCCACCTGTGGCCTCTTTATTATAGCGTGAATGCGGTATCCCTAAATATCAAAATGTGGGCAGTGTGAATATAATAATAATAATAATAATAATAATAATAATAATAATAATAATAATAATAATAATAATAATAATAATAATAATAATAATAATAATAATAATAATAATAATAATAATAATAATAATAATAATAATAATAATAATAATAATAGTAATAATATTATTATGATAATATGATATTATATGTTTTGATATCAAAATATGTTTTTGATATCAAAATGAAAATCTGTGAATATGTTTTTCTACCAGCTCATCATGTAACACCATCTCGAGTGTTGCCCCCCCTTTTGAGTGAGGTGGGACTTCGTATGCTCTGACCACCCGCACCCTTGAGGCCCAAGTGGTCTTGGTATGATCAACATCCTTGATCAGGGACCATATGCCTCTTTGTGTTGAGGAACCTGTCATAGCTCACAAATTACTTAGGAAACTTGAAAATACAGAGAATGTAAAAGAGATTAGCTTGGTTGTGGTGTGGTTTCTGACCCCTTCAATGGGTATTTATATTGGGAAAGGGAGGAAGTGGTGTAGAACAAATTGTGTAATTGTGTAATAACCATTGGTCAAGGCACACCCAATTAAATGTGAAGTTGCCATTTACTATTACAGCCAGTACATTGCATTTAATGTTGTGTGGCTCAAGAAAGGCAAAAAGAGTAAATGTGTTGCCTGTGGAATTTCGAGTACAATGCTCCCCATTTTTTATTAGAATTGCAGCTCTCTGTTCAACTAAAACTGCATTGCTCACTGGGCCATCATTTACCATCACTGAGCAACAAAATACGGATTAACCATCACTGGGCCTTTGGAATTTCGAGTACAATGCCCCCATTTTTTTTAGAATTGCAGCACTCTATTCAATGTAAAGTTGTCATTTACTATTAGAGCTAGTACATTGTATTTAATGTTGTGTGGCTCAAGAAAGGCAAAAAGACTAAATGTGTGGCCTTTGGAATTTCGAGTACAATGCCCCCATTTTTTTAAAGAATTGCAGCACTCTATTCAATGTAAAGTTGTCATTTACTATTAGAGCTAGTACATTGTATTTAATGTTGTGTGGCTCAAGAAAGACAAAAAGACTAAATTTGTGGTCTTTGGAATTTTGAGTACAATGCCCCCATTTTTTTAGAATTGCAGCCTCTATTCAACATTATTTCATTGAGCCAATAAAGTAATTTCAGCATGACCTGATTTTGGACCCACTTTAACAGGCCCGGCCCATTACTGTACACTTTTTGGGCGGGAACACTGTGCAGTTTTCATTTTGCTTTTGTATAATAAAAGATGTTGAAATATAAACTAGAATAATATTGAAAGGTGGAGAAAAGTTTTTCTGTGTATTTCATTGAAGGGTAAGGCCCTATAAATATAGATTACAAAGATAGAATATTCCTATAAAAGATGTTATACAATAATACTATATATGGTATATTCCTAATATAGCATATTCTAAAGTATATTTTAATATACTTTCACAAACAACACGATCATTTTGCATGAGATTTAGACATACTAACCCACGTTATACCAAACAATAGCATTCCAATTAAAGACATCATAAGTGGAGTGAAGACGAAGGACATGTCTTTGAATCTTTGAATCGGGGGGTGGGGGTGGGGGGGGTGGGGGGCAAATACATAGCATACATGTTTGCAAAATGGAGGGTAATTAGGGTGTTTGCTTCCTCTTTATTCTACTCGTATTATATATTGCATATTATAATGTTTTAAAAGGCGTAAGGGGTGTTAATGGGGCATGGTCGAACCTTAAAACTTTAAAGTCTACACGTGTTAAATTAGGTTAAGGCATGAAAAAAATATTTTGACATTTTATCCTTTAATTTAATTTTCCTATGACTATATTTAAATATTTAAATTTAATATTGAATAATTCTATTGAAGAACACCGTAACACTCCTAAATTTCAACAAAAAGGGATTCTAATACTACATATAACAAATGTAAATTTACTTATTGCACACGCAAAAATTGCAAAAGTAATTAATGATCACATATTGGTATTAGTTAAAATAATAGCGGTGATGATGGTGATAATGGTAATAAAAAAATAAAATATAATAGCATAATAATATAAAAACACCAACAATAATAATTAGTACATGGTGGTTGTTTAGCCTTTGTTGTATGTTGTACAAAGGGATAAAATAGTATAACTCCCTTCGTCCCATACAAAAGCACTCACGCAGTTTACGATGTTTGACGGACCACAAAATCAACTAATCCATGTCTGCAATAAGTTTATTTTTAGTAAATAAAATTTACGTGTTCGGAAACTAATAGAGTATATGAGCCCAAACCCTATGGCTCACATACTCACTCAGAAGACAAATGCAAGAACAATTGGGACCCACTATTTCTCTCATCGGCCAAGGGACCTCCTTCGGCCCAAGAGCACCGGTTCACTGAATGTAGTCCAGAAGCCCAGGAGCAGAACTTGGACCTCCGTCGGTCTGGCATTCCTTTGGCCAACAAAGATACAGCAGGCTAGATTTTACACTTAGCGCTAAATATCATGTACCGGGCCTCCCAGACCCAAATCCTGGGAGCCCAAACTCACATTTTCCTTTATAAATAGCCCCCTAGGGGTAGTTATAGGGGGTTGAGAAATATTAATTGTTCACTTTCTATCTCTAACTCTCACTCTCTCTAGATTAATACCCTTGTTGGATCGATACACCCCTCTTTGGATTCGACAAGCTTGTTAGATCGATACACCCCTTTTCGGATTCGATTAACTTCCCAGTGGGTCACCCATCCTTGGATTTTCTTACCCCGATCTCGCTTAACTGCAGAGTTCTTGTGGTTAAATAACAGCCATATGTTTCTTAAAACCAATTAGTGATAAGGAAGTGGACACCCTCTATTTAACTCATTACTCTGTAGTTTCCAAGTCAAGGTAGATTCCTGTGGAGCACCCCCACAGTTCACTACGGCAGTGTAGAGCCCCACTACTGAGCGGTGGATGGACATGAACGACTGCACCACATCGTGGTGCCAACAGGTTGGGCGGTTAGTCCTTGAATCAAAGGGTGGTGCTGATCCCCATAAGACCAACAACTCTATCATTTGGTGCTTTCATTGAGAGCTATAACAATCAAGTTAGTATCCTTCGTCGCTACCAGACACTGCTAACTGAAATGAGAAAGACAAGGTCAAACCGGAACCTCATCGGCAAAACTCTTCCTGACCCTCGTGAGAACTAAGAGAGGTCGGGTGACGCTACGGCCGACAAGATAGTGGAGGAAGAGGTCTTTCAGGAGACCATCGACCTCACGACTGACCTTTGCAACAAGCTAAACATCAACGCTCAAGACGATCGCACTAGCCTTGAGAAGAAGCACCTAGAGAAAGGTGACCATGGTATGAGACAAACTTAATGGGACGGATGAAAAAAGTAAAACGGAACAACGTTAGAAAGATAGATCATTAGTTTAGTAACTAATAATTCTATTATTTTCAATAAAGTTAATGAAGAGATACTATAACCCCGTTGAAAAAGGAGCTAATAAAGATAGCCAATCTAGAATTGTAGTGGTCTCACCTACAATTCAAGAAACTTCAAATACAAATGACGCACAAAACATAAATAACAAACAATCATTTTCTCTTGAATAGTTTGATTCTTCCCAACTTGTATCGGACCCTAGATTGAGAATACCAATTTCATCATCCAACGATATCAATCGATGAAAACTCATAGAGAACAGTTGTAAAATTGTAGCTTTTTGTAGCTGACTTAGAAAAAACTCATATTCTATAATATTTATATTTTTGTCGTTGATTTTTTTCCGCAATAGATGGTATTTTGCTCTTGAAATTAAATTCTGTTAAATGCACATTATTATATACAGAGTACTACTTTTTATTTTTTTGGCAAAATACGTTATTTAGTTAAATTTGGGCATCCGCAAAAACTCAGTTGCTATACCGTGGGAGCAGTGGATGGTGAGCATGTTGTTCCCACCTATAAAAACCATGTGTTGTTGTTCATGCTCGTGAACAATAACCTTTTTTTTGTTTTTTCATTGTCGAGGAGCAGAATGATGTAATTCACGTGTAAAAGTGCGTAACACAGGCCGATAAAAAATGTAACCGCAGACAGGTCGAAATGTAACTTGTCTGATATGGATAATAAGAAATAAAATATTGATTTCATTGAAAACAATGAGTCTAATTGCTCAATTACTCTACCTAAATAGTGAACATGTTTTGTTTTTAATATTAAGACCATAAAAAATGTTGTTTAAAAATTATTTTTTTGCTAAAAAAATCATTTCTTACCAAAAAAAGTGATTGTTTTACTAAAAATATCTGATTCTTTTTGCAAAAAAAAAGATTTTTTTGCAGGGGTTTATTTTGTGATGTAACACATGTTATGAAAAATGTAAATCGCGTTGATGAAAAATCTAAGTTAAGTGTATGCAAAATATAAGTTGTTAAGGCAAGTCCAAATATAACTCACATATAGGAAGATGTAACTCACGTGTAAAAAAGATGTAAGTTCATGTAAACAGTGAAAATAAGAGTCTAATTGCTCAATTCATTAAAGTAAACAATTAATATGTTTTGTTTTTAGTATTAAGGCCATACAAAATATTTTAAATGAAAATAATATTTTTTGTCAAAAAATCAATTTTTAGCCAAAAAAATCTTTTTTGTTTGCAATTTTTTTTTTGTTTCAATAATAGGGGTTTATTTTGTGATGTAACTCTTGTTATGGAAATTGTAACTCGTGTTAATGGAAAATCTAACTCAAGAATATGCAAAATGTAACTTGTTGAGGCAAGTCCAAATGTAACTCGCATATAGAAATATATAACGCATGCATAAAAAAAGTGTAACTCACGCATGTGAAGATGTAATTCCATATATTATCAAAATATTCAAATATAAATAATGAAAACAAGGACCTGAGTGTAATTGCTCAATTAATTATAATT